CCCCCCCCAACCCTTCAACTATTTCACACCCTGACTCTCCCCTCCATCCTTCCTTCCGTCCATCTTCCTCAAACAGACAGCCCTAGTGTCACAGACACAAGGAGGTTATACAGTTGTTCTAAGGTCTCTGCATAGTTAATAGACAGCGCCATCAGCGCTACTACTACACACAGAAGCCTGCCCCGACTCCCGACTTCCTCTGGCCTATTCTTGACACATGCGGAGTCGTAAACCCGCGCGAGACAACGACCAGGGACGCCGACCTTCGCGGGGTTTCCAGGCAAGTCAAGTCTGCCTGGCCTGATGCAAAGAGATGGGTTGGCCTGACGGGTTCATTCACAAGGAAATGCCACGTCAGCACAACTCTAGTAATTATAATGCTTACATACCGAGGACTACACACTATAATGTGTGCTTCTCAATACATACCTATGCCCTGGCGTCTACTCATACTGAAAGCCGTAAACTTTGTAACCGTTACCTAATCAAAGAAATAGAAGACAATGGAACTGTTGCTGTTTGTTTGGGGGGTGGGTGGCAGTGATGGCGATGGTTAGCTGCTGAAGTTGTTTTGTATTATATCTATTATATTATTATCATTAATGGGGTTATTGCTATCATTAAATTATTGCTTCATTTTTTTTTATTGTTGTTGGAATTGAGATTAATATTTTTGGTATTATTATTTGTATTATTATTATTAATAATATTGGTATTATTATTATTATTATTATTATTATTATTGTTGTTGTTGTTGTTATTATTATTATTATTATTATTATTGTGAGCAAGGGGTTGAGATTGCCATTGCTTGTGGTGTTCTCGTTGTTATGATTAAGTAGGGTTCGCACTAGTTCCGTTTTGTGACACAATGACATAATGTTTCACCCCGCTACATCCAGTTATCTGACTATATCCATTACCTACAAAGGCTCATTTTAAACCGTAACAAGTCTAGACCACCTCCGCACATTCCAATCCCGTTACCCAATTCTATTTTTCAAGACTATAAAGAAACCACGCGTCGAGTGTCGCGTCTCTCTGCTCTTGGTGAACCCATCCTTGCACGAGACAGGGTTAAAGCACAGTGCACACTGACAGTCGGATTCATCGGATTGAATCGGGGCCCGCGAGATTTTCTTTCATGGATGGGGCAAAAGAAACTATTTTTTATTTTTTTATTCACCTACTTTTTTTATTTATTTACTTTGTGTGTGTGTGTGTGTGTGTGTGTGTGTGTGTGTGTGTGTGTGTGTGTGTGAGGAGGGGAGGGGTGGCACGATACGGTCTATTTGACTCACGATCTTGAAACAAAAGTGTTTGATTTGGAAGGTCACTGTACATTTCAGATGAATCGACTCGACTCAATCCGATCAATCCGATTGTCAGAGCGCACTAAGTATAAGGTTTTGCACACAGAGACATCCACACGCCAGTGTAGATGAGGCGGGAACGAGTTTTCTAACCGCGCGACAGGACAGGTAGAAAGACAAAGTCATTGCTGTGAGGCCTATGAATTAAACAAAACCTCCAGGAAACACGACACATCCTCCTTCTCTCAACAGACAGCAATATTGACTTAAGGATTTCGCCCCTTATCTCACGAGTGCATTTCGCTCGTTCAGAAGGAAAACCGTTACATCACTCTATGGCGTGCGTATGTGACAGAAATGCCTGGCATCTCTCCTTTACAACGTGTCGCTTCTTCCCTTTCACAACGACCCGAAAGTGACAAACAGTTAGCCATCTTGACATCTGCCTTCACGCGTGAAGCCACAGGAGAAAGAAACATAAGAAAGCAAACACAAATAATGTTGGAATGAAGGCGAAAAGAGCCATAGTACACGAGTCAAAACACATTCTTTAGTGTACACGAATACAATAGCTGTACATAACTTCTCTCTCTCTCTCTCTCTCTCTCTCTCTCTCTCTTTT